TTTACCTTTTTCTAAATTTCGCAGATTTTTTAATAAGGTTTTAATATAATTTAACCAAGTTTTACTTTTACTATTTAGACATCTGTTTAAACTCTTGATTTCGTCTAGCAACCTTAATAATGATACTTTATTACATTGTAATGATTATGATAGAATTATGAAAAACAGAATAAATTATTTTTGTGATTTAAGAAAAGATAGATCAGTTAAAACCCTAATCATAACAAAAATAAAGTTATAGAGTTATGTTGGCAGATTGAAACAGCAAAATAAAGACTTAAAAAGCAACTATCTAGTATTAAGAAAAAAATTCATTCAGTTCTTATTTGAAAGTCTTAAAAATTTCAAAGGATTGCATAATAAGTAGAAATAAAAATTATTAGATAAAATTCAAAGACTTAAAAATGAAGTTGAATAGTTAAAGAAATAGCAGACTTAATTAACTGTTCAAATTGAAGTTAAAGAAACTAAAAATAATCTTGATTAAAAATTAAAATTAACAAAATTTGAAAAAAAATAATTATTTGTTTTAGTTATTTTATCAGTTTTCTTTTTTTTCTTGATTATTTACTAAAATTCTCTAATACTCTTTTGAAAACTCTTTCTCTTGATAAATTTCATAGTAATCCTTCCTTTGTTTACAGCTAATTTCATAATTCGTGAACTACTAATAAATTGCGACTGAATGCGACTGAAAATATTTTATAATAAAATTACTATTAAAATTACTATTAAATATTGTGACTGAATGCGACTGAAAAATTATTAATAGTCTATGAATTATGAAATTAGCTGTAAATACATTTGCAAAAATTTGATATCTGCTAATTTAAAAATGTAAAAAGCATTTTTCACCTTATTCTTTCTTTAAAATACTTTTGATAATACTATAATTCTTGGGTTTTATAGTAGACCTGATATATAATTAACTTTCTATTACTATTTTTGTTTAAAGATAATTCTAAGCAAAAAAAAACAAATATCATAATCATAAATACCATTAATCATTATTTACTTTATCTTATTTTATTGTAATATGCCTTATATAAAACTTATATTGCTTATATAAACTTTACATAAAACTTATATTATGTAACAATATGATATGTAATTTTATATAAAGTTTGTAAACTAAAATTTTGTTTAATAAAATAAGTATCAGTGTGTAAAATCTATGTGCACAATATGCACATATACACATTAATTTTTTGTATGCACATATTATACAACATAAAATGTGCACAAATTATTACTAAAAATAGATAAATTATGTATAAAAAAGGTAATTTACATAAAAAAATGTTATGATTTTCTTATTTTAGTAATAATTAATAGATTTTATATACTAATAAAGTGCAATTTAAATAACCAGTAATATTTTAAATATAAAAAATTCCTTTTAAATATACAGTATACAGTATATAGGATGATATAAAAGGTTATTGGCTATATTTTTGTATACTCAGGACAATTTTTTAAGATAATCTCAAAAATTTTTCAACCGAAAGATTTTTTTTTTTTTTTTTAACCTTTCTTCGTAATAAATTGTTTTTACTACCGTTAAAAAAAAAAATAATTAATTTCTTGCCTTTCATATAATAATATAATTGCTATGGTGTCATTCAGTTGTGATTCATGCACAGATATTATTAAAAAGCCTAAGTTGGTCCAGCATACATATCGTTGTCCTAATGCACAATTTACCTGCATTGATTGTTCTACTACCTTCACTGGTAAAAGTTATTTAGATCATAATAGCTGTATTTCTGAAGCTGAGAAATATCAAAAAGGTTTATATAAGGGCAATAAAAAGGTATGCCTGTCGCAACGATAAAAACCTGAGCATATTGTTTGTTTTTAGTGTGAATAACCTTTTTAAATTCTTCACATATAGGGTAAACAGAATCAACTTAATAAGCCTAAACAAGATAATAATACGAACATCTCCTTAGAAAGTATAAAACAAGATCAATCTCCTGATACTACCAATAATAATCAAGAATCAAAAGATAATACTAATTCTCCTTCTAAAAAGAAGAATAAAAATAAAAAGAAACTGCAGGATAATCAACATAAGGATGAAACTGAAGGGGAAAAGGAAGGATCTACAGGTGTGTTGATTATTGACTTTGATCACAAAAAAGTTAAAGAATCAGCGGATTTAATTGCAAAGCAGGAAAACGACAATAAAAATGAAAATGTTCTTAATAGTAGCCCCAAAAAGAAAAAGAAGAAAAGGTCTTCCGTTAATATTAGTAGTAATGATATCAAAGTCGAGATTAATTGTAATGATGCTACGATGACGGGCATAGATGAAGTAAATGGAGCGCAATTATTCCAAATTGAAAAGGTAATTGAAACATCAACGAAAAGTAGTAATTTCAAAGTCGAGGAGAATAAGAAGAATAGTGATGGTGATGCCACGGTAACTGGTTCAGACGAAGCAAAAGAAGCAAATGAAGCGCAATCAGTCGAAACTGAAAAGGCAATTGAAACACCAAAGAAAGAAAGCAATACAGTGAATCTTGATAAAAGCGGCAAAAAGAAAAAGAAAGAAAGGAACAGATCTTCCATTAATCTTATTAGTAATGATATCGAAGAGAGTAAAGAAGATAGTGACGGTGATTCCATGATGACAGGTACACCAAAGAAAGAAACCAATACAAAGAATCCTGATAAAGGCAGCAATAAGAAAAAGAAGAGATCTTCCGTTAATATTAATATTAATAGTAACAATATCAAAGGCGAGGAGAGTAAAAAGGATAATTATGGTGATGCTACGATAAAGGATTCAAATGATGTAAATGAAGTGCAGTCGGCTCAAACCGAGAAGGTAATTAAAACACCAAAGAAAGAAAGCAATACAGTGAAACTTGATAAAAGTAGCAATAAGAAGAAGGAAAGGAATAGATCTTCCGTTAATATTAGTAGTATTGATATCAAAGTCGAGGATATTGAGAAGAATGGTGATGGTGATGGTGATGCTACGATGTCGGATTCAAATGAAGTTAATGAAATGCAACCAATCCAAACTGAAAAAATTAATGAAACACCAAAGAAAGAAAGAAATGCAGAGAAACTTGATAAAATCAGAAATAAGAAGAAGAAGAAGGAAAGGAGCAGTTTTACAAACAACAATTTAACAATTTCTAATGAAACTGATAATGGGAAATATGGTGAAACCAAGAAGGATTCTATGATTCAATCTGAATCATCTATTGAAGTATTGATGAAAGAAATTTCTGATAAAAAAGACAGGAAACGAAAGTCTATTGAGCCTATATTACCCGAAAAAGGTGAACTTAAGACTCTGACAAATAAAAAGCAAAAGATTATTGACAAAACCAAGGATCAGAAAAATGCAAAATTCGTTCATAAGACTTTTGATCCAACAAGTATTCCTGAAGTTATTAAGAAGATCTTCAAAAGTAACGAGGTAATATTTACTTTACTTTTTTCTAAAAAAAAAAAAAAATTGTATTATTTATAATTGATAATAATCTCATTACTTTGTTCATTTTTTTTTTTTTTTTACAAAGCATGATGAGATAAATCTTAAACGTCTTGAAGAAATGGTGGTTCGTGAACTGATTCCCAATTCAAATTTATCTGAAAATGAATTAAGTGAAAGATTTCTAGAGAATATCGTGCTAACTATGAAAGATGGGAACATTATTTTAAAGTAAAAATAATATAATCCCATTCTTTTTTTACTATTAGTTTATTATTGATTGTGAAAGAATAATGAAGATAAATAAAGTTCTCAAAAGATTATTTTTTTTTTTGTTAAAGAGATTATTAAATTCTGAATTGATTATACAATCCATTTAGGAGAATTATATTATCTATTTTTTTTTTTTTGAATATCCGCCTGATGCTTTTCGATAAAAGTCTAAGAATTCTTTCTTTTCTACTATACCCAAACCTGTTTTACGAAATCTACCAACTTGTACCATGTAATTTAACACTTGTGAATCTACAATATCATCTGGTGTTGTCACCTTTTGTGCGGTCGGTGCAAAGTATCGAGAGAAAGATGATTCATCGGATATGAGAGATCTTACTTGAAGTGTGTTAATGAGCTAGATTTCAAATGAAGGGAATGAAATTTAATTTTGAATTCACTCGATGATCATTATTATGATAAGATGCTTATCCATACCTGACTACATAATCTAATAAAGTGCCAGAATTTATTTCCTACTGTATATGTCGGAGAAAAATTCTCAAAGTCATATCTAAACGAATGATTAAATATTTAATATATGTAAATTATGATTGACGTTTCTAAATATTTTTACCTCACTGTAAATATATGAATTTTAAAATCATTGACAGGTATCGATACATCTTTAAATATAGGATTGAATTTCAACAGTGCTCTACCGTTAGATGTTGTTCCCTATAAAATGAATAAAAATATAAGTACACTTAAAATTCGAATTACATTCATGTCATTTCATTACACAAAATTAGTCAACCTCAGGAAATATGACAATTGGTCTTGATCGCTTAGATTTAGCATAACTGACCAACTCTTGAAGCGTGAATGTTTCCGTTTCTGGTGGGTCAAGATTTGGATAAGATCCAGTATTCCAAATCGCTTTCCATAAGGATATCGGCCGCAAGGTGTTGGTTGCGGGATAATATTGTGTAAAAATAGGATCAAACCTGTTACAATAAATCAATTATCAAGTTGTTTTTAAATGAATTTCACGATCAAAAGTAAAAAATTAAAATCAATACTCACCTAAAGGTCAAATAAAATATTTCCACATATGATACCCAATTACAAACGATAATATCACCTGCATCAACACCTCCACGATTATTTGTGCGTTCACGCGTCTTGGGCATCCCTCGGCTATAAAGGTAACATAAAATGATCAAGTTGTTTAGATATTTTTTTTTTAAAAAAACATTCATACTTGTATTTACCCTTTTGTTAAAGATGAAACAATTTCTGAGCGAATCCAATAAAACCCCATAAAAAAGAGAATTAAACGCGTTAAAATTGAACTGAACAGATAATGTAATGCTCTATGAACAGGTTTTATAGGTTTCTAAATAACATATAGATCTTATTAAATATATATATATTATAAATCTTTTTTTAAAAAAAGAAATTATTTTGTATAACTTTACCAGGACCAAGCATATCACATCAACTAGAAGAAATAACAACAAGGAGGTGACTAACACCAACAATAATTTGAGAACCCCGAAAACGGGTTTAATCACATATCCAATTACAGTAATGAATTTTGTAAAATTGTCAGAATCCTTGCGTGATGGCTTTTTTTTTATAAACAAGTAATATTTGTCTTTATTTCTTAAACGGGTAAAAGATTCAAACTACAACAAAAAAAGATAAAAAATAAAACATACAACTGGTGGTAGAAACGGCTGAATTCCCGTACCAACATCCTAAATTTTTTATTAAATAATTATATGAATTCGAATTTTTAGCAACATATGAATTCTCTACAGCAATGCTTACCCTCCAAGTTGAGAATTTCTCCATAATTAGAAGAAAAAAATTTATTGATGATCCAGAAAGAAAAATGCCGAATTTTTAATGATGAACGTTGTGTAACAACAAACTAACTGACAAGATCTTTAAACTTCGGAAAAAAGCCTGATTGAATAAAGTGTTGCTTTGCTTATATAAATCAGCTATGAATTTACGTTAAAATTAGTTTGAAGGTAGTCCCACCTTCTATAACTCTTCAACACTTTGGTTATCTTGTAATATTTTTGACGATATCAATTCCTCTACAAAAAAAAAAAAAAAAATCAAATACCTCTATTATGAAGCTGCGTTCTAAAAAAATTACATTCTCGATTATATATATGGTATGTACATTAAACAAGAATTTCATCAATGATTCCTTGAAAAAAAGAAAGGAACCGACAACGATAAAAATCTTTTGCTAATGATTCATACTTTTTTTTTAAAAGCTCATATCTGAGAATTCATTTAAATTTAATGATTTGATTCATTTGAAGAAAAAAGGTTCTTTCGAAGCGCGAAATAATAAGAAATCGCGTTTTTGTTGGGGTAATGATATTTAATGATTTATATAAATCAAAAAAAAAAAATTAAAAACAATTATAATCCAAATCCAAAAAGGATCTTATTAGCCTCCCTTCTTGTTCTCTCTTATTTAAATATACAAAAAAAAAAAAAAAATTAATACTTATCGATTTTTATTTATTTTTTTAACCATTTCTGCCGATCCAAACTGTCGTTATTCCAGACGCTATTCATTTGTATAGATAATATAATATCTTGCATGAAACTGTTAAAAAATGATCACTTTAAAAATTCACCAAAGAATTCTTATTGTGATCGGACATTCCGTTGTAAATTCACGCAAAATCTAAGATTTAAATGAATTAGAAGCAGAAATTTATGAAATTAAATTTAAAATTGGCCGTATTTGTTGAAGATGACGACGAACGTGTACAACATGCAAGATGTGCTGCCAAAAGTTATGAAAAAGGTTAGTTAACAACGTGAGTATTAACGTGATAAAAAAACGGTTGAAAGAAGTTAAGGTCGAGTTGAGCAAAATTTTGAACAATTGGTGTATTGCTAGGCAATAAAAAAGAACACGATTTAACCAATTTTTTAAAGATGAATTATTTTTTTTCGTGTTGAATAAAACTTTTGTTTAAGTTTCTTCTTTGATCAAAGATTATTCTTTTCTTATTTCTAACAAGCTCGACCCCATTTCTAAACGAGAACAAGAAAATACTTGTAAAACAGTTATCATTACCGGACTCGAAACTTTATTAGTTCGAGAACTTGTAGTTAGATTGAATAAATACATCAGTACAAACAAATTACAAGAAGGGATTTCTCGAGATGAATAAAGAGAATGTTTTGGAATATCTTATTGAAAGCGCAAATTCATGGTGAATAAATTAATAATGCTTTTATTGGATTAGAACTAGTGAAACTTATAGAGTTGATGATGGAAAGAATAAATCGCTCTCGTCTCTTCATGGCGGGATCAATCGTATTAATGGCGAATCCGGAAGTTACGCGTTTTCTTGTCTATAGAGTTAGGATTCTATAACAAGTTTTATCTTCTATATGGATTTTTATTTTTAATTTGCGTTTATGAATTTAATATAAATAAAATAATGTACGGTTATGTAATATATGATATTCAGTTAGTAACTTCACTTATATTTCGTTTTGTAACATACATAACCATACATAACGGGTAAATTTATGACTTATCATTCATGAAAAATAAAGCATCCAACCTTGGATTGAACCTTCAGTCTCATTAAAAAAAATATATATTTTTTTTAATTGATGTTAATTTCCTCAAAAAAAATTATAATTATTACAATTCCAATTTTAATTTTAGATCCTTTTTGAGACATATTGTAATTTAAATTTATAAAGAAAAACGGATTAACATAATATCGGAGGAACCTGAAATTAGAAATAATTTAATTACGAGATTCAATGGTATGTGTGATACGAACTGATACGAACGAATGTAATTTACCCTGATCATCCTGATTGATGATCACTGCTGCGCAGTAACACAAAATTTTTTATCTAATATTTTTATATGCTTATCAGTAATATTTTTTTTAAATCTTTTCATACAAAAAAAAATCCTTTTAAACAAAGAAAATATAATTATTCACATTTTTGGTATGATCGAAAAAATTGTTACACTAATGTCCCCCATATTGTGAGAAATATTTTTTTTTTCAAACGAACAATGAGATTCTTTATACTTTTCTTCTTTTTTATTACATTTAAGGATTATTGTATTTTGGCGTAACCAAAAAAAAATAAATAAATAAATAAAATAAATGGAAATTTCATCACCGAAAAACGAGATTTATAACGCAAATTTTCAATAGAAAAATATTTTCGACCAATTGTGGTTTTACCAGGCGAAGAGTAAATCTTTTTTCAATTAATTGATTTCTTAAGGTATATTGTGAAGATGGATGAAATGAAAAAGAAGAAATAACCCCCAAAGAAAAAGATTTTCTTTTTAAGGTTTATCTGATTGCATTGCGACATTGTGTTCGACGATTTTCCATAAAGAGAATAATTGAGATCAGACTGTGTCTATCTATAACTTATTGATCATCAAAAAAAAAATTTTTAAAACCTACCCTTGTGTTACCATCTTGCCACATGCGCCAAAATATTTTTTATATCTATCGGTTTTACAAGAAAAGACACTTCAGTCGGGTTTTTTTCCTTATAACACCTAAAATAGTATCGTGTTAAGTTGTTGAAAACTGAATAAAGAAACCTATATTTTTTACCTCTACTTTTTCCCCTCCATCTCTACTTTTATTCAAAATGGCAGATCAAAACACCACTACAACAAGTACCACTAAACCTGAGGTATCAACTAGCATTCAAGAAGTTCCTGAAACGAATGCTGATGTTAAAAACGAAGTGAAAACCGAGGAACTTAAAGAGGAACCCAAAATTGAACCTAAAAAAGAACAACCTGAAGTACTTAAAAAAGAAGAGCCCAAAAAAGAAGAGCCTAAAAAAGAAGAGCCTAAAATAGTAGAGGTTAAAAAAGAAGAGCCCCCAAAAGAAGAGCCCAAAAAAGAAGAGCCTAAAATAGAAGAGGTTAAAAAAGAAGAACCTAAAATAGAAGTGGATAAAAAAGAAGAGGTTAAAAAAGAAGAGCCTAAAAAAGAAGAGGATAAAAAAAAAGAGGATAAAAAAGAAGAGACTAAAAAAGAAGAGGCTAAAAAAGAAGAGGCTAAAAAAGAAGAGGCTAAAAAAGAAGAGGTTAAAAAAGAAGAGGTTAAAAAAGAAGAGGTTAAAAAAGAAGAACCTAAAATAGAAGAGGTCAAAAAAGAAGAACCACAAGTAAAGCAGCCAGAGCCGATTAGTGCTGCTATTGTTGCAGAAGAGAAACCTAAAGAGATTGCTAAAGAAACTAAGGTTGTTGAACCAAAACTTGAAGAGACTAAAGTTGGAGAACCAACTAATGAAGCACCAACCAAAGTGGAACCAGCGAAAGAGGAACCAATTAAAGAAGAACCAACCAAAAAGGAACCGGCTAAAGAGGAATTAATTAAAGAACCAAAGAAGGAAGAACCAAAACAAGAAGAACCAAATCAAAAAGGGAAAGAGAATTCTAAAGTTGAAGCAGTGGAAAAGAAAACTGAAGAAGTATCAAAAGTAGTCGAAGAACAGAGTAAAGCAAGCCCCCCCGAATCTAACCCACCCGAAGTTCCACCTAAAACTGAAGATCAAACCGCTGAAGATGCTCCCGAAGTTCCACCTAAAAATTTAGAAAGTACCAGAGAAGTTGAATCAATTAATAAGCGGAAGAGTCTCATGAAAAAATTCAAAGAATACTTTTTCAAAAAAGAAACCAAAGAACCAACACCCGAAGCTAAAAATACTAAAGATACTAAAATTGCAGAAACTTAATTTAATAATTTCGTGATATCAGTTGTAATTTTTTATTTTTGAAATATTCAGGCTTCTGAAGATCCTTAACGCTAATTTTCTTTGTCGTATTTCTCCCCCTTTTTCTATTTATTATTATCATTATTTCATTATGTATTTAACTGTTTCTTTATCTTGTATTTTTTTTTTCTGAACTTTTTTTTTTTTTTTTGGTTGTATTAAATATGGGTTGTGTATATTCCAAGTTATTAAAGAACACTTGTGCCATATAGTTTCTTTTCGCTCCTTTGTATATCATGAATCAAAGACCATTTATTGAAATGTACAAATGAATCAAAGATTGAATTTATTCTTGTTGAAATAAACTGCCGTATATATAATAAGCTACAAATATCTATTGATTTAAGTTCTTTTTAAAAATGATTTTTTTCAATCCGTTCGTGTCTTACTTATTCTTTCCTCTTTTTTTTAAAAAAAAAGTGTCTATAGAATAAGAATTTATTTAAAACTTTAGGAATCCAAAAAAAAAAAAAAAATTGAAAACACTAATTTTGTTTATGATTGAGAGACACTTAATTTACTTATAAAATCTCTCAATTTATCTAATTGTCTCTAATTTAATTTCTCATTTAAATATATCCATTAGGATTTCTAAAATTAGATACAGAGATATATAGAAAAGAATTTGTTTTTTATAGAAAACGGGAAATCTTTATGTTCCCCTTGCCATCAAGAGGAAGAAGAATTGAAATCATAGCTACCTCAAAACGAAATGTATGAATTTAGAAATGAAAATTTCACTAATAACGGGAATTATTTGAATGCTAATTAATGTTTTCTTAAATAAATAAATAAAATGATAAAATCATTAGACCATACTTTCATTGGTTTTTGTTGGTAGCGTTATTTTCGTATTCTCAATAAAGTTTGTTCCATATTCTCCTAGTATTGTTAATCTATAATCAAATATTAGGTACAATAACTAATATACTACTATTACATTAATGTGAGAGAACGTGGCTGAAATGTCCGGGGACGCGCAGCCGACATTTTTCACAATCTGAACGACGTCCCATGGTAAAAGGTAATTGATGCGATTGTACTTGTCGATGATGTTGGCGCTGACCACGTATTGGTAAGGAATACGTTGATGACTTTATGTCCGTCTCATGAAGTTGAATCTTTTAAATAAATGTGATCAAAGAGGTTAGTAAGATCTCTTTATTAAAAAAAAAACATGAAAGAATACCCATTTCAGTCAAATACAAAGAAAATCATCTATACTTGTGTAACATACAATCTCACTCTCTAAATCAATCTGCATGTTATCATAGTCCATGAATCCTACATGCGTTGTTTCTTGAACGGCTAGTAATTGTGTTTTATTGCTTAGCTCACTGATAGAGCTAGAACGACTAAGCCGATTATCATTCCAACATGAGAATTGTGGATTTGGAAAAGACGGAGTTCCCTTAAAACGTGGAGGACTCAAGAGTCGTACGGTTTTCTGAAAAAAAAAAAAAAAAAAATTATTTTTAATAATATGATTATTACGACTCACGTCAGAAATAATGAACTCTCTATCCTCATAACTATAAATGTAAAAGTTTGATACCTGGACATGTTCATTCCTGCTTATGCTATTACTACGAGTTCTTTTACGTCCAGCGTTGGTAGGCGAGTGAATTGGGGAAGTAGTAAAGTTAAAATGATTGCTGACAGCATGGTTGGAGTTTGGAAAGTGCATAGTGTAATCCATGTTCCACTGATGTACAAGTCTAGTTCTTTCCAAAAAAAAAGAAGAAATTGAAATTTTATGAGAATTGTAAATAGAAAGACAGAAACCGGACAAAGTATTGAATTTTTTGAATTTGAGCTTATAGGTCTATATTTATAATTTTTTCGGAATTTAAATAATTGTATCACGGATGACCAATAAATTGCAATGGCACGTATTCGTTGAAACACGTGAAAGAATACGCAGACTACAAATCTTAAACTCGGACGTTAAATTTGACTTTACACGCGACTTTATTAGTCAAAGTTCTACTTATGAACCGATTACCCAAAATTTTGGCACATACCCATGGTAGTTCATGAATTACATTGTGAACTTCCGTTTTTATAAGTTCAAGGGCTCATCTTTTATCGTGTTTGTTGTTTAACCCGTAATCACGTCCGAATAAGGTATTAATTCATACTTTTGAATCATCCTCACCAATTTTTAGCTCATAAGAAAGCTTGTAATAATTTTCCATGCCGAAATCGAGGATCAATCACGTATTTATTCATTCCGAAATTAAATTTGAACTGCAATAAAAAAGAGAGAGAAGTAGTTTTACTTATTAGCTGATAAACGTCACATGATTATAGCATTATAGCCTGACATCACGTGAAAATCCAAAATATCTTCATTAAAAATGTAGCCAATCATTGAATTTTTTTTTTACATTTTCTCTCAAGACAATAAACCGTCTTGGACTTTTTTGTTATTTATCCTAAAATTGTAAAGTTTAGAATAATGCAAAGAGAATATTTTTTCACATCGTATTATTCATTTGTTTTAAGTTAAAACCTAATACGGTAATAGAAAGAAAAATGAAGTTAGTTTCATATTTTTAACTTTGATCTACAAAAAGAATTGAAATACATTCGAAATTTCGATTTTGTGCAGAACAAGTTTATAACTTGGTCAAACTCACATGGTTCAATTTCTTTATAAAAAAAGTAAGGGATGTGATTGAGCGCGTGATTATTATGTGACAACGGGATACGTGATCTTATACGCCAGTTGATATTTATGATATCACAATACAAATGATTATACTTTCAATTTTCCAAAAACATCATAGAAAATAATAGGGAGAATTAAAAAAAAAAAAAAGATATAAATTTCAATGTTTGAACTCCCTTTCTTTTTGTTACTCATTTTTTTTTTGAATCATATTGAAATTTTCTTCTACACTTTTATGTAAAAGGTATTAGGTTAATTAGATTAAAAAGACCAAATAGCCCAAACGCGATTTCATCAAAGATTATACAACACTCACTATTTCATTTCATTATATCACACTAATAAAAAAAAATGGTGGGCTGTTCGCTGAATAATGAAGTATATGAGGAAGAAGACAACACCCCACATTTCAATTTCGCTATCGGTATTACCATAGCTGTATCAACTTCGTTTGTTCAATCACTTGGTCTTACGATACAACGTAAATCTCATATAATAAATGAAAACGTTTATCCAAAAGAACTTAGACGATCTGCATGCCGACAACCTTTATGGCATCTAGGTTTTGATACTTATATAATTTCAAATATAATTGGAAGTGTGTTTTCAATTGGTTACCTTCCAATCATTATTTTGGCTCCCTTGGGGGCTGTAACTTTGATTTTCAATGCATTCTTTGCCAAAATACTTTTGGGTGATGTGTTTACAAAGCAGACAATAATAGGTGTGATTCAATTCCTTAGATTTTTAAGACCCCCCTTTTAATCAATTTTCATTGGCGATCACATGATATGCATAAAATTATCGATCTCACCCCTTTTAAAATGGTCACATTTTTTTTTTTTTTAAAAAAAAAAAAAATTTTCATTATAAACTTCACAAAATGTGACAAATTTTCATTTTCTAGGGACCATTTTCATCTTAATCGGAGCGATAATGATTGGGTTTTTCGGTGTGGTCAATGAACCGAGTCATTCATTAGAAGATTTGATCGAACTTTATAAACGTCCAGCATTTATAATTTATTTTTCTATCATTGAATTTGTGGTATTTTGTTTTCTAATCGCGAATAAATTTGGAGAAGGCGTATTGAATCAAATGCTCCTAGGTGAACGTAATCTTACATTTGGTTGGTCATTGAAAAAATTTCAAACGATTCTCGGAATCTCATATGGATGCGTTGGTGGTATGATATCAAGTCAGAGTTTATTATTTGCAAAGAGTGGTTTGGAATTATTACTTTTGTCTATTCTTAATTGCGATAACCAGTTTAATCAGCCGTTAAGTTGGTTTATCGTTGTAGCATTGGCTTTCACGGCTTTGTTACAGGTAATCTCACGTGTGTGTGTGTGTGTGTGTGGTGATTTCTTTTTATACATTTCATTCGTGTTTAACCAATTATTTTAATTATTTTCAGCTTTATTACCTTAATAAAGGACTAAAATTATGTGATACCGTTATTTTAGTTCCACTTTCATTTTGCACTTATAATGTTTCATCAATATTTAATGGTCTCGTATATTACAATCAATGGAATCAACTATATTGGTGGCAAATATTTTTCGTAACATTAGGCATATGTTTATTATTATGTGGTGTACTTATATTATCATGGCGAAAAAGTATTGCACCAGAAGAGGAATTTATAGTAGAAGATAGAATGCTATTAGGACATAATATTGAAGGATTCACTGAACTTTATGATGATGATTTTAATAAAAATACCGAGAATATAAACGATTCTGATAATGGTTTTTTGGGAGGTGATTCATCTGTCACGAGGATTTTATCATTTGAAGAGATGTTGCATGATGTTGGTGATGATGCAGATGAAAAAACGTCTTTACTGGGTAATCGCAAATACAAGCGTAATCATAGATCAGTTTCAATCGGAACAATACCTGATAATAATTATAATTATGGTTTAAATAATTAACCTCTTTTTAAAATATTTTATATATATATATATATATATTTTTGGTTTCAAAGAAAAATGTAATTTTATACAATTATTTATTTATAATATATTTGCAAATAATTCAGAGTAACTTGCATGTAATCATTTCAACCTCCCTATAAATAAATCAATAACTTTCATTCCAATCATTTGATAAACATATATAAGGATAAGTTTTCAAAAGAATTATACAATACAATTTACTTTTTCTTTATGTTCACAAAAAAAAAAAAAACTTTATAAAAAATTATATAAGCTTATTATAGAATTCTTGAAACTATAAATATCAAATTTTTAAAAGTTTTTTCAAACATTAAAATTATTGTTAAAATTAATCAGAATAAACTTGATTTCAAATTTCAAGTATATCAATTAATTGCAGTTAAATGATCAGAATCCAAATATTATTTCATTATCTGAATATAAATATTTGAAATTTCTCAATGATTCTAGATGAAGATTAAAGCAATATAAGGATTTAAACATCTTTTCTTTTTTTTTCACTTTATTGATATTATTTTTATCATCTAATACCTATCTAATATATAACTTTCATTTATATAATATATTGGGTAAAGATTTTTTTCTATATAAAATTTCAAGTATTTTTAATTATATAAAAATAAAATATTATTGGAAAATTTGAACTAGTAAGTTGCTTTTTAAAAATAATAAAAAATAAAGTTATAATACTTATTATTCATTAAAAAAAATTAAAAAAAAAACTATTTAAAATTTCTCAATTTTTTTCTGATTATACTATTTAATATTAAATTTTATATAATTTTATTTAATTACAAGTATTCTTAATGCTTTTTTTATTTTAAAAACTTTTAAAACATAAAAATAGAATTCTATTTTATTTCTATATCTACTTTAAAATAAAGATATTACAATTTTTTTTATAATATATAACTTATATAAATTATTATATAAAGAAATATCTTATATAAAAAAACTCAAAGAGCTGAAAAAATTTATCTATTATTTAAACCTTATAACTTAAAATGCAAAGTCTATTTTAAAACTTATTTATAATCATTAATAAATGCTTTTTAAGATATATCTTTAAAAAAAAAATACTAGAAGTATCAAATAATATGATCAAAATTTCAGAGACTAATAATCTCAGAAAAATCTTACCTAAAAATGTTTTATTAAAAATAATTATATTCTTATAATTCTGAATAATTTTACAGAATATAAATTATAAATATACTAAATAAAATCTAAATCTAAATATAACAAATCAAAAAAAAACTATTGTTATAATAAAAATCACCTTAAATTTTTATACTATCTATTTTTTATTTAATAATATAAATTATAATAATTATAAATATCTATTAATTAAAATTAATAAAAAGTAATATTTTTATTCAAGCAATAAATTCAAATTCAAAATTATAACATAAGTTAGTTAGATTGATTATTTGAAATATAAAGAAAATAATTGAAAAATTTTTATATTAAATAAAATTATATGATATGAAAAAAATATGTTATTTATTTACATTATTTTTTTTTAATAAAAAATCCTTTTTATCAAATTATTATAATATTTTCTGAGTAATTATATTAAAAGATTATCATCATTTTCTTACATATGAATACTTTACAATTCTATATATTTAAAAAATAAAAATAAAATAAAAATAGGATAAGAAAATACAAATATGTTTTATTTATTTATTTTTTAAATTTAAGAGATTATATAAATTGATCATTAATTTATTAAAAAAATAGGTTAAAAGTTGATAATTTTCAAATAGTAAGCAAATTAAAACAAAAAAAATTATTAAGATAGTATATTATCATTAATATAGAAATATTATGTTATCAATATAATAAGCTAAATATATAATTTATTTTTTTAATATTGTTATATTGTATTAATAAAATATTTTTGCTAAATTTATTATACTAATTAATTTAATCATCTAATAGAAATCTGTAAATATCACATCATATATATTAAATAAAAATTTTAAATAATATATTAATAATCCCTATAAGAAATCGAAATAAGGAAATGATACGTTTTTTTTAAGGTTTGTATACGTAATTAATGATTCTATATCAA